CCCCCCCCCCCCCCTCCACCTGCATTTTGTCACGTATCCTTAAGAAAATTCTCCAGTAACAATTAAAACTCCTGTTTAAAGAGGAGAGAGGCACAGCCAAGTTTTCCTGATGACACGAATTTGGGTCCATCGTCGTTAAAAAAAAAAATTAATCAAGTAGTCTACTTCCATCAGGTTTGCATATTATGGCAAGTATAACACCATAATTGTACTCTGTACTTTTACTTATTTCACCAGAAGGATTTTTTTCTCTTCAAGTTTATATATTGGCAATTTTTTCACCAGACCTCTTTGCAAGAAATAAAAGTCCAGAAGTTATAGAAAGACTGGATAGCCGTTTACAAGTTGACTCTACCGTAAAAACTGTAGGTTGGCTGCCTGAGGAAGATTGTGAGTATGGAATACAGACATTTTTTTGTCATATTCAAATCTTGTGAGCACTACGAAATTCTGGAATCACGCTGACTGAAATGTGAGTATTTATGCCTATTGCGCGCCAATTTTTTCGTTCTTTCTTTCTCTTAAGCCGAAAAACCTAACAAATGTGAAATTCCTGAAGATTCAAGATTTCCCCTATGTTCTTTCAAAGTAAAGGTACGTTTTCAAAAAGATATTTTACGGGAAAACGATTTAATTAACTAATTTTGTATATTTCCTAAAGAAAGTTTATTCATGATTTCTCTACTGTTTATTATCTTTTAGTCTTTCCCTGATTCATGGAATCCTAAATGCCACGATGGAAAACATAAGGTGAATCTGGATGATAGCTGTTCTGTGATTCAATATCTCAGTGAGGTTAGTAAATTACCGATCACAAATTACTTGTAAAACTGCTTCATGATTCAATGGTTGCTTCGAATTCATATATTCACAAGCTAACTACGCAAATGAGAATCATCAATATTTTGTCTTTTCTATGATGTTGTATGTTTTTGCTTTCTTGTAACACTTAGGTCGAAGCATGGTGTCCAGTTCTGCCATGGCGACAAGACATGGATCCCTTCAAGCCATCAGTTAATCAATCAAAGGTTTGTGCAAGGCTCACGGCAAAATCTGGTAACAATTCATGTAAATAGAAATTTTTTTCTTTGAAATATTGTCATGGCAACTTCCTTTTGTTAAAACTTACGCTGAAAGTGACTCCTATTTCGTAATCTCTTGAAGCCTCTTGACAAAATATATATCTTTGTAAAACAATTAAAACTTTTTGTTAGTAGACTCTGTTCACTTACAGAATCCGTACTGTTCTAGGCAAAGATTCGCACAGATGTATCGGGATTACTAAAGCAACTTACTGATGACCGTTATGCCTGGATGAGAATTCGCATCACCGAAACATGGCCGCAATGGATAGAAGCCGTCAAAGAGCTTGCTATCAGGCAGGGCATATCAGAGAGGAAAAAGAAAAAGGTGATAATATTTTAACTTAATTTTGGTAACTTTCAGATATTTTTCTGGAAACAACCATTCTTCCGCTATTGTTCTCGTGCTTGGTAAACAGCGATTTTTTTTCTTCTTCAGATCGCTCTTTATATGGGAAGCTTAGAATTCAATTTTAAGATCTTTATGGAGGCCTTCAATGGTGGCGTTCTGGGAGAACTCAGCCAGTGGAGTGACGTCATGAGTGTTCTGTACATATTGGGACATGATTTGGTAATCACGTCGGACAAAAAAGACTTGCCAAAGTAAGTGCGTGAGTGCTCTTCGAGTTCTACTTTACAAGTATCAAGAGGACAGGGCTCATGTTATGCAA